TCCTTTCCGTGTCGTGCTACTAGAATTTTCACTGTTTCAATTTATTTGGCAGATGCGGAATAACTCGATTATACAATGTTGTCGAGAGAGTAATTAATTACGTCGTATCGGATAATTGGCGCCGAGTGCTTGGCTCTCCTGCGACGTTGTTTTTCGCAAATGCGCAGACAACTGCTCGACGAGAAAGGCAATCTGGAACCGCTCGGCATTCTGTTAAATTTTAATTGAAGATCTCTTCTGTCCGCACATTATAAAAGTCCCCGCTTGGTGGCTAATTTGTCGAGAGAAGAAGGGCCCCGTAATGCCGTTGTCGTACAAGAATTCGCGCCGGAGAGGCCGAAGGGAGAGCCGCGAGACTCTCGCTCGCTCTTACCGATGGTTGCGATTTCGATGAAGAGAGAAAGATACATGCCCGAGAGAGAAGACTTGCGGCTTGCGAAAGAGGAGCGGTCTCCGAGGAGAGGCAGACGAGAGAAAAGATCGACCACGCGTTCAATCTCCCCCCGGTCGCCATCTTTCCAGTATAAATCGCGCGTCCGCGTAATTGGTGGCTGCCAGTTTGTTGTAATGGATTTACGAACATACGTCTTTTAAAAAACGCAAATAACAGGATTCGGGCGTCGCTGCTTGAGAAACGTTGATATTCCAGCTACTGGTGAATTTTATCGTGAACAAAAGAAGGAAGGGATAGAGGGGAGGGAGAGATAAATTGTTGTTTACGCGTTTCATAAAAATAGATTAAAGATAATGTAGTAAAGGCGAAGCTAAATGTCTCGATTATTTTCTCGTAGATGATATCGATGATGCATGATTAACCCCAACTACACTATTCAATTTCATTCCTGACACTTGTAATCCTGTTTATAAAGGTCGGTCGCAACATTGCTACATGTGTGCAAGATCTGTTCTTGGAGGACTTCGGCTTCTCCGAGTTCTTTCGCTTCCTCCCCTTCCCCTTCTTGCTTTCGTTCACGCCTGTGAGCGTTCGTGCGTGTGTCGCAGCCGCGTGCAATCATGTGGATGCGTCGATAAATGACAGTGGTGAGATTTTTGCGTGTATATATTGTACGTAAATACATGTACACAAGATTTGGAAAAGAGAATGTATAACAAAAGTCAGACCAGATCAAACCTCACATTTTTAATAAGCGCGTATAAATCAATGAAAAAAGGATGTTACGCTCCCTGGAGAAATCTGAAATTCTCAAGGATCTTTTTTAGCTAGAAAAATCAGGGAATTATTATGAAATTTATTTTAAAAGGAAACTTAAAGAAATTCTTCTTCTGATAATATAATGCCTTAACAAAATATACTGAATATATGTAATATATTCATCATTGTAATTTTTAGTGGTGAAAAATGAAAATGTTAAGTATGTGAAAAAAACGTTAATCACGAAATCTATTGAGTTTATGTTATATTTAATGAATCTAATCTTTAAATCTCTTTATTTTTCCTTTGTATAAATGAAAAGAGCATTAGAAAAGCACACAATAAAAGAAATTATTTGAAAAAGTTGCAGCTCTCTAAAAATTCTCTTTCCAGAGTTTGAAAAAAATACCTGAAAGATCAGGGAATTTTTTACAAGATTTGGGTAGACACCCTGGAGAAAACAGTTTTCGCACAATACGCTTTGTCGCAAAGTCTTCCTTTGCATGGAATTCTCGCGATTGTGACAGAATAAAAAGTGAATCTCGAATCACATTCTTTGTCGACTACGTCACATTCTGTCGCTACAAAGATCTTTACTTAAGTTGTACATGGTGAAAGTTGTAACGGAGAATGCTTTCTATCTCGACAAAGTGACGAATCTTGTCAATTTCGTGAGGCAGATTATTGGGAGACTATCTCTCGATTAATCGTTGCGATAAAAGCAACACTGATTTATTATTCTTAGAAGATGCCGGTCTTTTTTTCTTTTACGATAATGAAAATTATCGATCATGCGATAATAATACGATAGCAAGACTTTAGCATCCATTTGGCCTTTACTTAAGCAGTTAAAAAAAAATTTTAATATATAAAAATGAAATATGGTATGTATTTAAGTACATTTCCATCTATTCAAAAATGAAAAAATACTTAATTTTTTGCATTAAAATGTAAAATTTATTAATTACTACATATGCTAATATATATAAATTATTTGTTTCTTTTTTTAAATGTAATATATTGAAATTTCCATATGGAAAGAGCGAGAGCGAGAGAGAGAGAGAGAGAGAATCATCCGATATGCAAAGCTTGAGGGAAGGAGAAAAATTGAATCATTATTTCAATTATTGAATTATATCGACTTGCTATTATTTGCTATTATCGATCATTTACGAACATCAGAAAACTTTGGCGATTCAACTTTCCACGTATGAAATTAATCTTAGATCGCAGCCAAGCGAAATAGCAACGGTGTGTTTCGTTCAAGAAATCATGCCAATAATGTTTGCTATTTTCCGGACGATGACGTCGAATAATCGAACTTTCACCACATTTTTTTTTACGAAGAGTAGAAATCCATTTGAGCAATAATATCATTATGCAAACCACAACGAAGGAATTTCCTAACTTCACGACGCGTTTATAAATCCTTATTGATCCTTACGAACTCGAAATTACTTAACGTACGTTCACGTATATATCGCAAAAAAATACGCAGGCTCAAGCGAAAAAAACTCTTGAATGGCGGGATTCGTACGGAATCCAACACGACTCGGCTTCTCGAGGGGTTGCTTCGCCAACGAGCGCGTCGCGGAACGATCGGCGACAAGGTGAAGGCGACACGAGGGAGATAGGGCCATATCACGACGACTCTTCCTGCGCAACGAGATCCGAAGGGTTTTCGCGGCGGCTGCCGCGGGGGTGGAGGCGAGGTCTTAAAAGGTTCCGGTGGGAAACCCAGCAGGGTGTGAATGGCTTCAGACACACACGCCGGAGGTGCCCGGAACGTTTCGTTAGAGGCGAGAAGAAAAAGAGATCGCGCGTTGGAGAGGACGGCGCGAGCAAACACGTATGCGTACACGTGCGCACGTACACGATAAAACGTCGCGTGTCGTTATGCGTGAACGGGGACACGTGTGCGCGCGCACGTAACTCCGAATTCGCCACCGCATACCACTGTAACTCCACCACCGCGAGAGTCTGGAGTCTTTGTTCGCAAAAGTTGGGTTTACCTCGTTCCTCGTCGTCGACGGTCGCGCCGTCCCTTCTCCCCCTTTATTTTTGCAAAGTCCCGAGATATTTCTTGTGAAAATACGCGAGGGTATTGACGACGCCCGCGGAAAAATCGATGAGCCCGAGATTGTAAACAGTACGACTCGAGATGTTGCGGAAGCGTTTCCTCACGAATTTTCTCACGAAGACAATTATGTAGATAATTGTTGCACAGATGTTGTTTTAAGAAGGCAAAAATGATTTCGAATCTTTTTCGAAATAAAAGAAATATATCACAATCATATGACGAAGGAGCATCATATATTAATGGTCCAACTTTTGAGTAAAGATCCACGTAAATAGTCCCTGAGGTATTGCCTAACGATCGAGAGACATCTTGTCGCGCGATGAAAAATTCCCCCAACATGTACGTGTGCAAAAACTTGGCCGCGAATTGTCGTATTTTTCTAGACGCGCTGACATTGAGATTGATAAGCCCGATGTCGCATGAGTTTTTAATAATTCACGAAAGGGAGAGGGGCAAATAAAAACGCGAAGGAAAATTGTTTGTGGAGATAAATTTCTCGTCGATCCCATCCGTCACACGCTCTCGTGGGCGTTTTCGACATGATCTACGAATAGAAAGATCTATATGTAAACGAGTCAGTGTTTTTCGGATTGTCTCTCTCTCTCTCTCTCTCTCTCTCTCTTCTCTCCTCGATTCGTGTAACGGAATGCGAGAGAGATCGGAGAGGAGGCTTTATCAACGCGGATATACAAGCCGACTTGCGGCGGCGGCTCTCGAGCCTCTCGAAATAACTCCGCACCCTTGCCGTATTAATTACCGGGGATTCATTCCGTCCTCATTTACAATGGGCTAATTTAACGTGAGGCAGGCTCTCCGCGAGCGAGCACGCACATGAGAGTGACGTCTTTCTGTTTATACAGGCTTTACGGAGCTATTAATCGTGGGGGAATAATCGTTCGCGATTATTCGCCGAGATTCTTCTCCGATAAGACTTAATACAGCATGAAATTTATATCGTACGTTTATTCGTAATATCTTTTTGACGAAGATGAATGATTATCGAAGAAAATCTTATCAAAATTTTTGTATTAAAAAAAAAATAGAAATTGTAAAAATTTTTTCTCATCGTTTATTTTGTCAAAAAAAGCCATCGTTAACAATTTGCGTAGCATTATTTCAAATTCCGTTAAAGGAATTTCTCCCTCTTGGCAAGAATTTTCTTTTACAAGATATTCTTGCAGAATCGCTATCTATTTAAATTAATGAATTCATGAGATTATTATACTTCAGGGATTATTACTTTGTATATATGCAACATCTTGCGAATTGACTTCTAATCGGCCTTTTTACAGTTTTCGCATTTCATAAATATATACATATTTACTATTTATATTCAACATATTCATGCTTGCGGATATCGGGAAGTCGATGAAGCGATGTAAGTTGGCTAACAAGACAGCGAAAAAAAAAAATAAATTTTTTTCTGTATCTCTCTAGTCGTGCATGCATATGTAGTACATATGTATGTTCTTATCGCGATATGTCTATGCATATTTGCGTGCAAGCAGCTGCTGTTTTACGTGTTATTTATATGTATCTGTACTGAAAAGTGAAGAGAATACAGAATGAGAATCCGTTCAAAAGGAATACAAAGTTCTCCTACACACAATTGCATATACATACGTACATCGACTCGAAACAAAGTGGAAAAATTAACTTTTCGATTTCCCGAACAAATGTATGGAATTCGTTTAAGTCTCGCACGTACAAATTATACTACATTAACTATACAATTATACTATGTTAACTATGCGTTTCTGCTTTCAGCTCTTAGTGAGTGGCGGGCAGCCGACGACGGCGACGTCGCCGGCAATGTCATCGGGGAGCGCGTTAAGTCCTGGGGGCTTGTCGCCCTCGTCGACGGCGACAACGACGACGGGGATCGGGCCCGCGGGCACCGGCGGCGCCACGACCCCCGTGGGTGGTGCCGCCACCGGGCCCGGTTGCTGCGAAAACGGGAGGCCCATGATGACGGACCCCGTGACGGGGCAAACGGTGTGCAGTTGTCAGTACGATAGCGCCGCGAGATTGGCGTTGGGCGCTTACCCTCGACTAGGGCCCACCGCGACCTCCTATTCCTCCTACCCCACGCCGACGCCATCCACCACCGATCAGGGGCCTTACTCCAGCATCGGTATGGACAGCTCCGCGTTCTACCCGCCATTGGTAAGTTTTTGTTTATTTTTTATAACATTTATCCTTTTTTTTTAACACAATTGCGTTCTCCGAGAACCGAGAATGCAATAAAAAAAAACGAGAGAAGAGATGTTTAATTTTTAATCGAGCATCAATAGGTCTTCTAGATTCAAAAACATCGAAAATTTCCGTCATAATAGTTTGATATCAACTAATACAATTGAAATAATTTTTTCGCGAATTTTTTAATCCGTCAATGAATTGCTTTGACTCATTCATGATATCAAATTTATTACGTTGGCACTATGACAAAAATTAAATTAAAGGAGAGAAATTATAATAATCGTATTATATATTATAATAATCATATTAATATATATATATATATATATATATATATATATATATTTATTATATATTTTTATTGCATTATTTATTTTATTTTCTAATAGATTTTTTAATATATTTATTAAATATGTTTCGTGCCATATCTTCCGAAATTAATCTCGAATCTATATTTAACAATCAACCATCTGCCGTGCTCTAATTTAAATTATACTCTACTATATTAAAAGATATCACAAGTTCCTCGTGTAATCTGAAGGCTCGACCTTCAACACGCTTCGCAACGTATAAAGCAACCGTTGCCGGATGCAAATTGATCGGTTCGTCGTACTAGGCGTACCGGGCGATTATTGCTCCTCCAGTATTAACTTAAGACGGATTAGCACGTGGTGTTGCCGCGAATTAGCTTGGAATCCCGGCGATGGTACCCTCTTTCGGACGTCGGCCCCTTGGCTCAGGAATTCGTGCGTCTTCGCAGGCTGCCGGGTACCGGCTGCGTCAAATTATTCACGCGTCCCTTTCTCCTAGAAACGGCCGATAATCTCGTTTAAGTTTCGCGGAAGGCGCGTTGCTCGTTACGTTTTCAAGGGGCTGCCTACGATGACGAATTTGCACGCATACGTCACCAGGGAATTCTTCTCGACCGATTGCGCGTCGCTTCAGTCCTGATTCCGTCGCAGAGTTGTCAGGAATCTTGTAAAACGTATGTTAAACACGTTTTGTACTATAATTTTCGCACACAATTTATTATCTCGTCATTTTATATCTTGTACAACATTGAAAATATTTTATGGATTGAAATTATGTTCAAAAATATATTTACTCGGCTTCTTTTCTGGATGGAGAAACTACAGATGTCCTGCATGAAAATTAATTCGTGTAGGGTAAACAAAATTAAAAAGAGCATTCAGATGATTTTTTTACCCCATTAACGGAATTTCGTGATCGAGAAAACGGAACAGGTGCATCGTTGATGAACGCGTTCGATGCCATCTCGAGTCGGAAGAAAATGCAGCAGCCAATTAAATTTAAACTTATCGGATGGTTATACTAATTGGCCGCTTCTAGACGGCGTTGTCGATTAATGATTCTTCGCGTGGCCAGCGACCCGCGAGACCTAAATAGAACCGCCACTGGAGAAGAAAATCTAGGAAAAAGGAATCGTTACAGCCGAGTTAATAATGATACAGTCTATGTTCCGTGTTTTGCATCGCGATTCGATGGTACGGAGATTTATACTGATTGCGATTCATCGCGCGTAATTTGTACACGGCTTATCTCGTAGCGAAATTCAACGAATGCATTTATCAGACATTTCTCATTTCTCATGTATGCAATTAGTAATACGATAGAAATTAGACGCACTTTTTTCAATCGCGCATATGCAGAGAGCATCATTAATCAATTCTTGCGACTAAATCAATTAGAGCAACGACTATTTATGAATCGTGTGACTGGGCAATCGCGGAATAATTGAGATATCAATGACAATTTGATGAAAAACAACTCAAGCGTTCCGGTCGAGAAAACGCTACTTTCTTATACATGAGTGTAAAATCAACTTTTATATCAACGCGTTCTACATGTGTAGCACATAATCTATCCGTAATAGCAATTTCTGTAATGGCGAGGCGGCGTGCCATTGACGTGCCGTAAATGTGTCATTACCACGTATCAGATACGTATGCGGATATCGCTACGACACATTTTCATTTTCGTCATGCTTGTACAATTGAAAAAGCCATCGGCTTTTTGATGTTCGCCGCGTAATCAGTCAGTGCACATCGCCAGATAAACGCTGATACGAGGAAAAAAGAAGGAGACGGCAAATCTTATCTCTCAATAACGTAAAATGGCGTAAAAATCGCGATTACAATTTTGCGAGTTTATATTCTTGCGACTCGGTATGCTTATTCTGCAAATTAACTTATTATTAGAGCGCGGCGATATCATAACATATTTATGATGTTGGATACGTAGATGTCGAGATTTACTACTCTATCAAATGTCCTGTATGTGTTATTTCACAGTCACTTTCACATGATAATAATATCGCGAGGTTAATGTAGTTAATTAAACATGTCTGGTGGATTGCAAATACGCACTGAGGTCCGGATCGCAGATTTATTATTAGATTGCGGGATCGGCAAAAACTGCGAGAGATATTAATAACGTCGATCTATAGATAGCGTTTATGCGATAAATGTTAAAAAAAGAAGGGAAAAACACTGATTACTTTACATAATCTACACATTTGTTTCAATATTTCTCATAAACAGTGACGTGTTTTTTTTTTTCGAATCGAAAGAACATTGTATACGACATAATATTTCGTATACGATACAGATCGCGAATGCGCACCAACTATCTCTTTTTCTTTATCTCTCTCTTTCTCTTTCTTTTTCTTTCTTTTTCTCTCAAGCGAATCGAAGGAAGGAGACGAATGCTCATCGCTCTCGCGTAGGATGCGAACGAGTTTATAGAATCAATACACGGGATGTGCCGTGAAACAGGGAGATGGGAGATGGGAGAACTGTACCGGGGGATGCTGCGGCGACGAGAGTGCGCGAACGCGAGGGAGGATGAGAGCAGGATTGCCCGAGATAAGAGAACGACAATAGACGCGAGAGTCTCTTCTCGTCGGTTGACGGATTTGTCTTATTTCCAAAAACTCTGGCGTAGAAATTTTCAAGATTTTTCCAGATACAGCGTAGATTTCGATTAGAATATCTAAATTTGTTCCAAATGGATATTTCGTATTACGATAAAAAAAATTAGAAATCTCATTTCTCTTCCAATTTCGGTCGAATCGAAATAAAACAGCTGTAAACATTCGCATTTTGTTCATAGATTTTAGATTAAAATTAAATATCTTTGTTAATCTTTAGTAACTCCATGTCGAAGTGAAGGCAAATGATTGAGTAATTGAATTAATTACAATATTTTCTTGTTTTTTCTAAAACATTATCTGACAGAAATTGGTTATGAATTGATGCGCGTGACGTTAATATATCAAAACGAGCGATGTATTTAATATCTGTTATTATGCGTCTTGATGTTCGCTCTGATGAGATGTCAAGCGATTTAGCTAATGAGAATGTGCTTGCTATTTTATAAAGCATTATATTATATATGAAACGAATACTCATCCAACCGAATCAGGTAACACAATAGCAACATTTCGCGACTGTAGCATGCATGTCTCACCGCAATACAAAAGTCGTAACGTTCCGATTCACGATGTCATGCGTTATTTTACGGCTCATTGAAAAGTGTAACACGCGTAGCTTTCTTAATCGTAGATTGTTACACTTTTATAATTGGCACTTAAGTGCGTTTAGCATGCAATGTGATACGTGCAGGGTGCGTACGCATAGTTGCGCGCATTACATCCGCGAAGTATATAAGAATTATGAAACTATTGCTGAATATTTTTGTATCCACAAGATTTATTCGGATTATCGATTTTGATTGTGTGTGACAATTAATGATTAATTTTTGATATTAAAAGATTTTTACAGAACTTTACTAACTCCCTCTCCTTTAATTCTTATAAAAATCTCTGTACAGACGTAGAAAATTTAAGCAGCGTTCAATGGGAAAATTTAATATATAAAATATGAATTTCTATTTAATGATAAGAACATATCTACCGGAGAACGTATCTACCAAGAGGGCGGATGTACTGTAAAAATGGATAAGATATCAAAATTCTTTTTTTTAAAGAAAGACAAACGATTTTCTGAATATTTTGAGTTTTATAAAATGAATATTGAATTTATTTTAAAAAATATATATAGAACATATAAATAGCATTAAAATCTTTGAAACTTAAAATTCTGTAAAATCATGTTTTTCGATTTTTATTTACCTTTTTCTTGATAATGCTCGCGTTAATATACAATGTATTTTCATTTTTTGAAATAAATTATAATTTGATTATTTGCTTTAAAGAAACTGTAATTTTATTAGAAATTTAAATTATATAAGAAATTGTAAAAATTATAAACGATTAAAATTGACTGTATTCAAATACGATTAAAAAAGAATTCATCAAAATTAATCAACATATATATGAAAGTAAATAAAATTACTAAGGATATATTAATTTAATATTGAAAATAAATTTGCTATGTCTTACACTCTCCAGATATTTTTCTTCCAGATATTTTGTCAAAAAGATTAGCATTTAAAAAAATTTTTTAAAGTCGGGAAATATGTCTTAAAAGGATGAAGCTTTCTGCTTTTATTTTTAATGGAAGCATCAGTTATGTGCAATGACAAGTAAAAGATTTTATCGTGTATTGCATAGATATATAGTTTATAACTTCTTTTGAATTTTCAAAAACAAAAGATTTTAACAAAAAATTTTAACAAAAAATTGTCTTGTTTTATATAAGAAATATACTTATACCTTTTTAATATTTTCAATTTTTTAATAAATTTAAAGAAAGTACTTATTTTTATCACGTAAAAAATGAAAAGAAATAAAACTGTTTTGATTTTTTAGTTTTATTTCGAATATTTTCAATAAAGAAACTCTCATTTATTTGACATTTACTCAATATTCATCTTTTTCAAGTAATTATACTTTTTTAAACTTATAAATAAAATAACTATATTTTTCTCTTCGAAAAATCTTAAATTCAAACTTTCTAAAAGCGTAAATTAAAAAATATACATTTCTGTTTACATATTGTTTTTTAAATAATAAAATTCTGTTATTGTATTTTTATTTTTAAATAATGTTTAACGTATTCATTGAAAAAAAAACGTTGAAAACTATTTATTTCTTTGCAAAAGTTATAAAGAAACGAAATTTATTTACATGTATTATATTTATTTGATAATTTCCATTACAGTCATTAAGTCATATAGTAGTGTAGCGTTCTAGAGATAACACAATTCATGGTTGTGTCGGTGTTTTCACATGACGCTCTGTGTGTGGGATAGTCTCCGAGTCGGCGAGTTTCGATGTAATTGAGACCGATGAGCGTGGATATGCGATAAGCTGAAGGACACAACGATGCCCTTCGCGTTGCGCGATCCTCCCCTCGCGCGTATTGGTTTATAGTCCTGAGAGACCGAGCGAAACCCCAGGAATGCCATTTGTCGCGTGGGACGATACGACGCGCGGACGTCATAGTTTTGCACCTTTATCGGCATAAATTGCAGTCCGGCCGGTCAATCGTTCGTGGAATTTCAACGTCGTAGATGCAATTTGGCGCACGCGACCCACCGGCACGCTTGATACGACAATGTAGCCCGGAATGCCATAAGCGTTCCTAGTGCGGGAATTTTGAGCATTTTGACGAGGGGATGCGCCGTCCTCTCAATAGTTCTCATCCGTATCGTTCGTATCGAGACGATTTGTCGAAAACGCGAGAAAGAGAGAGAGAGAGAGAGAGAGAGAGAGAGAGAGAGAGAGAGAAATCTTTATTTTTTTTATAAAAAAATATATTTACTTGTGCATGGTGAAAATTACCGCGCTAATGATATATATATATATATATATATATATATATATATATATATATATAGTGTAAAAAAATATTTCTCTAACGATTATATAATTGTAGTATAATGCCTCTCGGGGCTCTTATCGAAGTCGTTTGAGAAAATGCGAAATGACGCTTGTCAATATTCTTAATAGCATTTATGTCAAGTGCATAGATAATATAATTCAAGTTTATATGTTTTTATTTTCATGCGTTTTTATCTTCATGCAATTCTCAGAAAATATAATCTGTCGATATCGATTAATTATAAATGAATTATTAATTATAAATGAAAATGAAACATTTGAGATTTTGATGCTTTTTCAAATATTTTATTTGTAATTCTAAATATAATTGTGCACATGATAGAACAAGATATGAAATATTTGGTATGTTATTTGTGAAGCTTTTGTGTGTGTAAAATTAATTATAAAGGAAATAAATAATAATTATATGTATAATATAAATTTACAATATATAATATAATATATTGTATAATAAAATATTAACATAAATTTTAATACTATCAATTGCGCGACTAGGAGCAAAACATAAAATGTATATATTACAATGTAATAATTGTTATACTCTAATAATTTTCATTTGCTGATATTTTCTTGTGCTTAATTGTAGCTATAGTTGACTTTCTTCTGCGTTTCTCTCTTTACTCTTTTGAATTTTTTTATCGGATGTTTGAGCAGGAAGTACATGTTTCGGATGATTCGAAACGGTGGTCCGATTCAACGAACATTATAATATAATAAGAATCGGATTAGCATTGAATGGAGTGGGTGGCGCAGCGGGTTGTCGAAAATACCTATAAGACCCCCGTAAGACCTTTACAATGCGCGCAGAGTGGTTATTAAAAAGAAAATAGAATATCCATTTTGCACAGATATAAATATTTAAATATCTATTGCTTGAAAATTTCATGTAAATATCGTATAACTTGCCGTTTATATAGATTCCGATTGATACACAATCCGTGAATAGTTTACAAAACTTATGACGGAGGAGGGAATTATTCCATCGATTATAATATATATATATATATATATATATATATATATATATATATATATATATGATATAGAGGTAGGAAAAATAAAAAAAATATTTTATCATAAAATGAATATACGTGTTCGCGTTTTTCACAACAACCTATATAGGGGCTGCTGCATTAGCTTGTCCCGAATCTAGAGAGTCAAGTTAAAGCCACCTTGCGCTCCCTAATGCGCTCGCATGCATCGCAAGATTTGGGGCGCGCGCAACGATTATTGCCACCTTAATGCAGGCGCGCTTGGTATAATCGGTTATAGCGAGCGACCGGTGACCCTGGTGTGACTGCGCAGCCGTAACAATAGTCCGAGGCGTCGACGTCGGACCACCCGCAGTTCGCCATTAAAGCCGCTTCTGAAAAGAGGAGAAAATAAAAACGGAGATATATGCGTGTGCCGGAGCCACACTCGATGAGGGCCGAGGCAAGAGAGAAAGAGAGAAAAAGAGAGAGAGAGAGAGAGAGAGAGAGAGAGAGAGACGGGAAGAGAGTCAAGGACACCCGTAAGGGCCTTCGAAAATCGAAACACGGGTTAGAGGCGAGGGAATGAATCAGAACGCCGACGATGACGACTAGATGTAACATGAAACTCTGTGGCGCCAAAGACCGTTCCTAAGCCGTTGCGCTAATAATATCATCCCATTGTGCTACCATTAGAATCGCATAACGTGCCGCTTTCTTCCCTTTTCTCACCTGCACATTCATTCTCTTTCTCTTTTTTTCGCTCTCTTCCTTTATATTCCCATCTTATTCCTCTCTTCGGTGGTTCCTCTTTTATAGCGCGTCTTTATAATGTATCCCGCGATGACACCACGCTCTATTAATATACCAACAAGTCGATGTCTATCCGTGATAATGTTTTAGAAATACCTGGTTAACTCGCGGCATCCTTCTATCCCTGCCTCTTAAAGCCGTCGCAAAGTAACCAAAAGGGTAGAGGATGGTTGAAAGATTTCTTTCAGGGACATTTATCGTGCTCGTATAATCTTCTTAAGGCTACAAACCGCTCACTGTGTACGGTGGTTTAGGTCGAGCATTATATTTATACGACCATTACGATTCATTGTAGTCACAGTCTATCGATGAAAATTGAGATGGATTGGATTGAATCTCCATAAGGTTCTCAGATACACAGCCTCACGTATCTCAACTCTCAACCTGTAGAATAATCTATAACTAGAATTTAATTAGAATTCTTTGCAAATCTATATAATTTTCGAAAAATGTCAAATCACGTGAAATACTCAATCATCCAACTTCCCCAAATTTTTTATTTGTTTTTTTTTTTTACGAATCTCCAAGATAGCATGTCAATGCATTTAACATCGGGAAATTTATATACACGCGATATATGTACACACGTGTTAAAAATAAATTATAACGCTTATCGCACACGCTCTTGCAGGGTAATCCGTACGGGCTGAAGGACGCGACGGGGATGGGCATGACGGCGGACATGGGTGCTGCCTGGGGCACGGCCGCCCTTCAACCTGCCGCTACGGGTTACTACCCTTACGATCCAACCCTGGCCGCCTACGGGTAAGTTTATCGCCAGGTTTCATGGTCTCTCGGCTCCATTAGATTAAACCACCGCCGGGAGAGCGCCGAACCGTCTCTCCCCCCTTCTCACCCGGGGGCCCCCGTCGCCTTCCGCGCTCCTCGCCATTAAAACAAGAGTCACGATCGCGTCGTCGCGTATATACTCCGCTAGAAGCGTTTCCGCGCGACGACGGTTATCGTTATCGCGCGAATCCGTAATATCTCCTCCGTGCACGTGCGCACCTGAAGAGAGAGGTAGAATGGACCGTTATAAAATTGCGTCCGACTGCTGAGATGAGCTGTAACGCTGTTCGATCGAGAAACCACATCCGACGTGGAGAATAATTTTTCTGCGATAATAGATGGATAATATATATGATGGTATTTCTATCCAGCATTTTCAAGGATAAATAGATATATAATTCATAACTCGTCATTTACATAAGTCTTGATTGCAAGTACATTACATATTAATACGGTAATACATCTGATAATCATTGTCAAATCGACATTCGATAACTGTGATTCCCGAATTCTGTCAAACTCGAAGGGGGGAAAGGAGGATGAAGAGGGGGCGAGGGAGAGCTAGGGTTGAAGGTGCTTCGGCGTTCGAGTTAGGCCAAACACGACGGACGGCTACAAAATGGCTGTAGGCAGCCGAGTGGGCGTATATAATGGGGGCTTCCAGATTGGACGCGTGTGTACATACACGCACATGCATATACATACATATACAGACGCGCGCGGTATCGCCACATCGCGAGCGTAGGGAGAGCAGTAGGTCTCTCTCCGTAGGAGAGCGAGTGAGTGAGTTTATTGATTGGCTTCCTCCCCGGGGTTGGCTCGCCCGTTCGCCAGGCCTCTCCACTCTACTCTCGAACTCCGTCGCTCTCTCGTTCTATCTTCATCTCTGTCTCTGACTCTAAATCGCTCTCTCTCTCTCTCTCTCTCTCACTCTCTCTTTCTCCCTCCCTTGCTCTACTCCCCGCGTCAGTCTACTCCCTTTCGACTACTTCCCCGGCCACCTCCGTATCCTCCAAACGAGTCGGCTCCCACAGGTGCTTTACTTGCTTCGCTTAGCAACCCTCGTGTCCGCCTGGCAAGCACACACGCGCAAATGTATGTACGCGTATACTCGCGCACGACGTTCACGCATAGGCAGGCGCGCTGTGACTCACGCAACGGGAGGCTTTCCCTCCCTCATCGGGGCCACCCCCGTTTAGGTATATAGTCTGCGTGTGCTCGACGACGGCGGCGGCGGCGGTGGCGGCGCCTGCCAGAGAAACTCCGACGGGTAGGCATTGTTTATCGTGGAATTCAGCGCCCTTACTGTCTCGCTCTCCCTCGCCACTCTCTCCCCGGACACACAAGCCTCTATTAATTTACTTGCTTAATAATACGACGGCCGTTCTCTGTCGTTCGCTTCTCCCGCTCCTGGAATTTTGCTCCTCTTCCCTTAAACGGGTTACTACGCGCTCGTTCACTTTCGACGCCGTCGGACCGCTATTGTTTTATCAGCGACGTTGAAAGTTGCGGACTCTGCGTTGTTGTTGGCGACACAAGGAAGGGTGCCCCGGGCCGTCGCGCGCGAGGCCTGTAAATTGAAGCGACTCGATTGGGACGCTCCGGCGCGAACGTTCTGATTACAGGAAATGAGAAATACGTCGTTACCGACTACCCCGTGAAAGGGTTCCTTTGGGGACACTTTGAGCGGGGGCAAAAGTGTCTTTCTCTTTTTTTTTCTGTTGCCTTCACGTAAATTGATGGAATTCTCTGTTCTTCTCCGTTCGCGTCGTTGTACACCCGAGCTTCATTCTACGTCCTGTTATTTATTATTGGATGATGAATGAGCGCGTCTGTTCTCTCCGTGTGCAATAAGATAATACAGCGGATATTTAAGACGTCAATGGGGATTTCAATGACAGGGACAGATTTGTCGTGCAGCTTTTAGTAACAAAATATTATTGATACAATATGCAATGTGACAAATGTGACAGAAGTTTCTATACAAAAGTTTCTACTCTTTCGAATCGTTAAATGTACAGTCAATCTTATATCTCTTTGACGGAGCCGTTGAACGCCGTCGTTCTTTTTACCTGTTAAAAGATAGGACATTGCGTCAGCGAATAGTACCAACTTAATTTTCGCCCGATCGGGAGATACCGCTTTTTATTCGATGAACGCGCGTACGGACGTTGACTATGTTGGGATCAGAGAAATGCGCGGACTTTTTCTCTTCGATTCCCTTTAATTTCCCATAGCACTGCTCACTTATCCGCGTCTTTTCCATCTATATCGTCCAGAGAAAGAAATGCCTAAACCGATATAATTCTAGAAAAACTGCTCAATGTACAGAAAATGTACAAGATACACTTCATCGATCGATAAAGTAAACAATCGAAATTCTTATATTCTTACAGTTTGATTAAAACAAAAACCCAGAATAAATGCGATTCAGATATTTCGAGAGAGTAGATTCAAAATAAGATATTTAATCCTCAAGATTACTTTTCATCTTTATATTTTTTAATTTCAAAAATAATGATCGTTACAAGAGGAAGGAATTTTTCAATGCTTTATTTCCTTCTGATACCTCACTAATATGTTTTGTGAATTATCAAGTACCTGCTTCGCTTGTTCTTGTCTGGAATAACGCGTAGGAGAAAGCTCCGATGATTAGACACAGACAACATATCGGTTCATCGTAGAACGCGAATGCGGAGGCGAATCTTGTCAGCGAAGCAGATGCTATGTACGGGAGACAAAGACAGAGAGAAAGAGAGAGAGAGAGAGAGAGACTAGGTTGGTTGGTTGGTCGGATAGGAAACGTTTGCGCATCCAAAGCCGGGCGTAACTATTGAAGCTATCTGTGCGCATAATATACATACATAAACACACATACATATATATACACATGCTTATACGAGGACGTAATTACGCGCGTTCTGCCAATATTGGTTAACCTTTCGAGGTTGACGCCACCATATGCAAAGCCTCTAATGAGTCGCTCGAGTGCCGGCAGTGCCTAGTATTACGCACCCTTTCACATCGTTATTAGCCGTCGTAGCTATTCGACAATCTTGCCGTTTCACTCCCTCTCCCCTTTCCCCGTTGCCCCACACTCCCGTCATTCACCGCCAATTTCGTTTCGCATATATAACACCGCTTCTCCCTTTCACTCCCACGAGTAAAGTATGTATCGCGCTTCTAAATTGACGCTGATCCTCGACTTATACAAAAATACGAGCGACCTTTTTCTCGTCGTTGCGTGAAATCAATTTGCTGAATCCGATGCATCTGACGTCAACGATCGATTATTGATCTTTCGTTCAAGCAATCGTTCTAACAACGAAAAAGATATCTCTTCTTATTTGCTTATGGCTAGTAATGGATTAAAGGTGACGATATTCTTATAAATAAATTATTCAAAACACCGAGATTAATTGAAATTCACACGAAAGCATGGAGATACGTTAAATCTGTATGTTTATTGGCAAGTCGCGCGTTAGAAACTCGTACACGTCGAGTTCTCCAAGGACGCTTGTCGCACGGTTTATGCCTCCGCATCAACGGAGAGCCGTGTCGAGGAGTTTTATACGATGATAGATAGTGTTATTTCACACTTGCCGATCCGTGAACTTTCGCGTTACGAACGTAACACAATCCTTTAGAATGGATAAATCCAAGGCATTTAATTATTGACGTTTAAAGACCCTAACGCGCTTATTACACATACTTACCGGTAAAGAAATGCAGGTCGCAAAGTCTGAATGCACCTTTCTCCTTCCTTATATTATTTGTACATCTTCGATTTAATAAAACCTTTGTATGATTGAAAGAATCGAGAATAACGATGAAATTTTCGCGAATCAATTGCGTTGTGAAAAAAAAGAGGAAGGGGGAAATTGGATCGTGCTCATCGCGCATCTGCCAAGTTTTTATGTCGTTCCCATTCGCATCCATCGACTGTTCGCGTATACGAGACGCGCGATTACGTCGATACGCAATCCCAGCGATTTCCTCTCGGCACGCAACGGTACACTTAGTATGTAAATGCCAAGAGAGAGAGAGAAAGAGACTCGTTGTGTATGTAGATAATTGCACGGCGCGGGTCGGACGTGTGGGAGGCAGTCGAAATTGCGCATATTAATGAAGGGGGCGAAGCTTGATTGTATCTGGAAGCCGCTCGTCAGCCTCTGTCGATTTCTGACGGGCTTCTGATTCGACATGGCTCTTTTCTTCGCCAGAATGTCACGATTTCTCGCACTGCAAAACGAGTAATTATTCTAATGTGGGGCGAATTAGCGGAAAAATTTGAGAAAAAAATTCGTCGACACGCAGGCTATTTCAAATATATCTATTTTCTCTCTATAAATGCTTCATTTTCTAGCGTATAATTGGAGCATAGATATTGAAAACTAATGTAATAACTCTTCGTAAAGTTCGCTTGTAATTCACGAGAAGCTTAAAAAACTTTTCTTCTGTTTCGTGCAAGGACTAAAATGTCCCAGACGAAATGTCGTCAAATATCGTATAATACATACGTGCGTTTTATTGTTTCGTCTTTCGCGAATCGCTTCGGATTCGGAAGCCTATCGAAATCGATAAGACTCCTTCTTGAAGGACATGGCTGCTTTCTTGCGGTAGTAGTAGCAAAGGAGGAACGTAGTCGGAGAGGAGAGTGAGAGGAAAAAAAAAAAGGGAAAGAAAGGTAGAAGTCGAGAAGAGGCTCGTTTTACCGGCGACGTATCCCGGCGGCCGCCTTTCCCTTGTACGAGGGAGTTTAATAGAGGGTGAAACGTCCTCCACCTTCTTCGAGTCAGCTTCCTGCGGATTGCTGCTTCCATCCCCGTCGGGACGCGGTCATCTCAGCAATCTCGGATACGGATCGCGGTGCTAGTCGAAGGTTGGAAGGGGGTTGCGCAACTTAGCGCTCGTTGAGTGAAAGCGAGAATCTAATCATTCGCCATTCGTTCGATTTACCTCGATTTCCGCTATCTCTCTCTCCCTCTCTCTCTATCTCTCTCTCTCTCAATCTCCGGCTTCTTCCTGTAATCAAACGATTTCTCCAATGATCTGAACGGCACGCTCGTCTAATTCGATTACATAAAATGGAAATAGAGACTTGACAACGTTTATTTTCAACGCCGTTTTCAATTGCTATTCGATAACGATCGTTTGCCGCAGCAAAAGTAGAGAACCCGCTATTGTGATTATTTCCGTACGCAACATCTGGGAACTGCCAGATCGTAAATTGAGTAAATTGACGGTTGATCGATGTCGTCACACCGCGCTTCAACGAGACCTTTCGCTTAAATTATTTCGAAACCATGTCTTGTAAATTATATTTCCTTCGTCTCTATATTATATTCCCTACAAAATTTACGAATGTTATAAAAAGAACCGGCGATGCTTTTCATCGTTGATGTTTCGATCACGATTCAATATCGACACATACGAGATTTTCCTCAACCATCGACGAGCAATAGTCTCGTTGGGATGCGTTCCGCTCGAGGCAAAACATCGTTGCTAACCACCACCATCGCCATCGTGAACCCGCTGTGCCTCCACCGTCGTTTCACAGCCGATGGATCGTCGATAGGTATTTTAGCCTGTAGTATATAACAGTATCCACCTATAACATACTCGCGCACCGGGTTCTTCGCCGGGGAGAAGGGAGGTAGACTGAACGAGGGAGGGTGGGCGAGAGGGGATCGATCGAATCGCCATTACGGCGAGTGAGTGCCGGGGGTGCACGATGGAATCACGCCGCCGCTGGGGGTTTATTCCCCGTATATATTTGCCGGAGTATCACCCCTCGACCCAGTAGGATACCCCTCCCCTCATCCCTCTATCCCAGAGGGGTTTGATGTCGAGCAAGGCGAGAGAGAAGGGAAGGAGATACAGAGAGAGAGAGAGAGAGACAAAGAGACAGATCTAGGAAAGCCGAGGGCTCGTGCAGAGTACTTCGGACTTGCCAAAATCTGCAGGGAATTCGCACCCTCGACACGATACCACTTTTCGAGTGGAGTGGCTCGTTTCGACAAATATGGAACAATAGTTACTTTCTGTGGCAGGCAGGCAAGCGGCGAACATTGCTTAATGGCGATTATTCGATCGTTAATAACACGTTTGACATTTATGATGGGATTTTTTTTATTTTTTAAAAAAATGTCTTCTTTCCAAATAAATAAGATAGATGCGTGCACGATCGAGTACTCGGCACACGTGCGAATGTACATATGTTATAATTATTAATACGGGAAATAAGAGACGCACGTGTGCAAATATTATCTACGATTTACCGCTCTTTACATCTCGGCTTTCGTCGAGTCGCACTTCCTGTTTACAAGCCGCTGTTCACCCGCGCGTAACGAAATTTTTTCAAAGGACTTCAGGGACGATCTCATTGTAAGCTGCCCGCCGTTGTCTTTTTCAGATACAGCGCCGGCTACGATCTGGCCGCACGACGGAAGAATGCCACGAGAGAATCGACGGCGACCTTGAAAGCTTGGCTGAACGAGCACAAGAAGAACCCGTATCCGACGAAAGGCGAGAAGATTATGCTGGCTATCATCACGAAAATGACGTTGACTCAAGTCTCTACTTGGTTCGCGAACGCGCGGAGACGTCTCAAAAAGGAGAACAAGATGACATGGGAACCGAAGAACAAGACGGACGACGACGACGACGCTGTGCTCTCCGATTCCGAGGATAATAAGGAAAAGGACGATCTCGCGGCGGATAACAGAAGCGACCGAGTCGGCGAAGAGGCGAGACGAGGCCTCGATGATACCGGTAAGTCTTTTTCCCCTCTCAATCATGCAGGCGCGTAGTACCACACAGTGTCTACTCAAATCTTGTAAAAACAATTCCTTGGAAACTCCTTGATCTCTTCTAAGTATTTTAATTCAAAGTTTCAACGAGATTTTTAAAATAAGTTCTTTTATCATGTTTTTGCATTTTTAATGCTTTATTATGTTTATTTATATAGAGAAAAGATTCAGAGCCACTCAAGTTTCAAATAGTCTGAAAAAACATTAAATAGTTTTAAAATAAATAGTATTTTAAATTAAATAATTTTAAAATAAACATTTTTCTCGCATAACATTTTCATTTTTTTATCACTAAAAATTACAATAAAGAATATTTACTACTATTTAATATTTGTCAAAATGTTAAATATATAAATAGAGATAGAGATATTGAATATACAAATAGATATAGATATTTATAATATATATTTTAAATATATAAAATTCACAATTTATCGGCAAATGTCAGTTGCTTATGATAAAAACAAGAGAGAATTTAAAAAAAAAATTTCTTGAATTTCAATGAAATTCCAAAAAATTCCCTGATTTTTGCAGATTCAAAAGAAATCTCTGAAAATTCCATATTTTCCAAATTTTTCTAGCGAGTAGACATCCTGGATTATCAGAATTCATTCGGCGAGACGTTGCCTCGAGATACGGAATCGTCACGTTTCCACGCGAATCCGCGAGAGCAATTTAGAAAATTCACACGGCGCGAGATCTGACGATTGACACGCGAGATCCTAGTTTGCTGTTCGCGCCGCTAACAAGACTACAAACTGTAAAATGGAATGAAATAAGAGACGTGTCTGTTAACGTTATGGCGGTAGAAACACCGATAATAATAACGTATCGATACGACTAGCCGGCTATGCCTGTTTTGAAGACTCGTTTAAGAAAAGCAGGATACACAGTATCCGCGATAACGTCGTCGTCGGCGGTGTTATCAGAAAATTTCTATCGTTAGAAACGTCCGATTATCGATATTGCGAGAAGTATTGTTGGTGTCGTTTCGCGAAGGTAGGTCCGGCGAGCAGGGCGAGCCGATCTCTTTGACTCCGGAATGTGTCGATGGCGTGTTTACCTCGCGTGACTAGGTTCCCCGATATCGAATACCCATCAGCTGGCGTTTCTTGTATTGCGCAAGCGTGCATATCGCGTACAATGCAAATCGAACTTATAACTTTGCTCTAGTCGAGCGCGACAATTATTTATAAAAATTTTTTAAACTTTGTTTTGAGAGAAAACATGTCATGAACATTGTATTCATAAACACTTTCATATAAATATATCTTTGCTCCAATAAATCTCTCTCTGTCGTTCGCATTTCATTCATTTCTGTGGAGCACTCGATAATTTCGTTGACAGCGAACGATTTCGAAATACGAAGTTGCAAATTTCGGCTTACATCGCGGCTGTCGATTCACTGCAAGCGCGCGGTACGCTCATTAAAGGTCCGCTTAATGTCCGCTTGGTTCCGTTTCCCAAATTGCGCTTCGGATATCGAGGGTATCCCGCAGTCGCATTTCTTGGCGCGGCGGCCGGAAACGGTGAGTTAGGAATTCGCAGCGGAGCGCGACGCGGAGCGAGTTCTATATTGCGGGGGCGGACATAATGGTTCACATGTGGGTAAACACAGTGACAGGTTGCGGGTTGCCGCGCGAAGAGATTAATGGCCCTCAGTTCGGTCCCCCGGTGGACCGGGCCGACGGCCGTTGGTATTGGTACCCTGGGCTCTGGATCCGGGCTGCTCGCCGTGAGCTTGCCGCGAGCGTGTAGGTAGAGCTCTATACGTGCACACACAACGACAGGAGCGCGTAATTGTATGCGTGCGCGAAAGAGGGAGAGGGTGCGCCTGGGCTGAGTAGCCTCCGTAGAACCATATACTCCGTGCCGCGGGATCCATAGATGTATGTATGTATGTATGCATGTATACACACACACAGGTATACATACATACACACATATATATATATATATATATATATATATATATATATATATATACACATTGTGAACTGTATATAGATACACGTGCGGGAGAACGCGCTGGTTCGAGGTACGGTGATGTATCGGCGCCCGCGGCGAGACGAATGGTACGGACCCTCCTATGGCCACCATTACCCCACCGCACATTGGCCAATATCGAGTCTCTCACTCTCTCTCTCTCTTTCTCATGCGCTCTCGTCATCTCGGTTTCTCTCTCGATAGCCAGGATATCCAGGTCCTGTCGTGCTGCGTCACGCGTACTGCAATGGCTCGTAATTTCAAAAGACCGAGGTGAGCAGCGCTCCGACGATGCGCGCCGGCTTGGAAAAGGCTTGACGAGAACCGACGGGAAATTGATTTGCAGCGCTGGGTTCTCCTCTCTCGTGAAAGCAAGCGTCTTGCGTCTAAAATTTTGCGGTTTTTCTCTTCTTAGATAAAGTGTACATAGGTGTATATCGATACCTTGGTTGCGGAAGACGAATACACACATACGTACATGCCAGTGACCTTTAGAAATTCAAAGGGGAGCTTTCGGGAGCGTTCATGAATTTCTACGTCGAGTTTCAGAAAGATAGGTCCCACGAACTGTCAGCTACTGTATAGGCGAAGGTTGAAATATTCGTATTCAGGCGGAATATATTCGAGCTCTCTTTTCGAATCCGCTATTGTTACGTAAAGTCGGATGCGGACAAAAAGTTGGTTTGTTTCGCGAATTAACGAGATACATAATATCGAGAAATAGAAAACGTGTTGTTGCACACTTTTATCGGATACGAATCTAAAAATCGTAAACATAAATACAATTTAGTTATTCAATTGAAACACACGGAATCTGCCCACACGGCGCGAAGATTATGAGATTAACGTCTGATAAAAGAGGGTCAAAAGTTAAAGAGCCACTTGTGGACTCGACGGTAGTATCTATTTAGTTGGCCCATAAGGCTCCCTTTATAAGGGCGTGCATGCGCCCTAAACCGAAACTCTTTTTTTCTCTCTTTTCTCTTTCTCTCTCTCTTTTGCACTCTAGATATATAGCAGAACGCCCTTCGAGCTTGGGAATTATCGCTTGACGACCCATCAAGTAAACCCTCTGCCGACACATTCGAACCTCTTAATGAAATTCTCACCCCTGACTGACTGGCTGGCTTGGCTCGGTGGCTGCCTGGCTGGCTGGCAGACGCTCGGGACGATCCGTGAAGCGCCCCGAGAGACGACGGGACAGGGAGATCGGAGAAAAAGGACAGGGATACGACGCTTCATCTTTCTCCCGCGCATCCTCCCCGCATGCTGCCCCGAAGGAAAACTGAAATCTCTCGCGCCCCAAAGTGGTTGAAGGCTTCGCTTCCCCTTTTTTCACAGCATCCCTTACAGCTTAACTATATAGGGGCGTAAGAGAGATATCCGCCACTCTCGCGCCGCTCGACGACCCCTCACGACGACGGAATCCCGTTATGTTGCGTTCTACATCTCGCTTTCGCGCACGTCGAGCATTATAAACCATTAATGCCTATATTCCCGGCTTGTATCCACTTTCGCGAACTGTCTTCGACGTGACGAACGCGACACACAATTTCGTGCCAGAATATTTCATATTCTGTTGACGTTTTGCCGAATCCACGTTTAGTTTATAAGTCTATAAATAATCCTTCCTTGACATTGTTTCCAGAGCCAATGAGGCACGTGAAAGCGGAGCTGCTGCAGCATGAGAAGGAACTCGATGACGACGACGATCTGGATCTCGAGGACGATCGTCGACGAAGCGAGCATCCGTTTCATCATGCGATGCAGCATCACCACCATCACCATCAAGGCTTTGGCGGCGAGGATCATCTAAAGGACGAGGGCATCAAGCCGGATTGTAGCGCGGGCGTTCCGATTCCCGCGACGAAACCGAAAATCTGGTCCCTAGCGGACACCGCAGCGTGCAAAACACCGCCGCCACCCTCGCATCCCCATCATCAGCAGTATCATCATCAACATCATCAGCAGCATTATCCGCAACAGAACCAATATCACATGCCTCGTCAAGACATGATTCAAACTGACACGCGACATTCGTGGCTCGGTCCGGCAAGTATGGTGGGAGGCGGTGGCACCGGAAGCGGTGGCGGTGGCACCGGTGGCGGCGGAAACCTGGGGAGTTCGTTCGCTCTACCCTCCTCGGCCGGGATGAGCCCGTCGGCGGCAGCGACGGCTCCCTTCACAGGCATGACCGCGAGATACGGCGGCCTCCTCTCGTCCTCGTCCGGCAGTCAACTCCATTACAATCCCAACTCGTCGTCGGGCTCGAGCTCGAGCGCGTCCTCCTCGGCAGCGGCAGCGGCGGGGTTTCCCGAGGTTGGCACGGACACTCCACCTCAGACGCCGCCCAACATGAAAGTGGCCACGCCGAACGGGGTGATTCAGGGTCCACCGGGTGGTTACTGTCCTGGTGGCAACGCGACCGGCGCGGCAACTAACGGCAATCCCAACAATCCGTACGGCGCGGCGATTCATCCCGGTGGCGGCGGCAGCGGTTATCTGTCGACGAGTTCGGGCTCGGCCAGTAGCGCATCGTCCTTCAGCTCTCGGCTGCAAAGCTCACCGGTCGGACATAATTCCATTCTTCATCAGCATCAAACCACTGCCAGTTTGCCGCCCACGGAGGCCAGCACCGCGTTTAAACCGTTCTACAAAGGGTAAGTGGAGAATACTGATGTCTGATGTTGGATATAATCTTTATTCGATGTAAAATAAAAAATATTCTTTCTTCTAAAAAAGTATAAGAAATAATTAAAAGTATGCGTTCTTTTTGTTTCAGTTCGCAATCAATGGGTAATGGCTACGTATCGCCAGTTTAAGAGCGCCAGCGCAAAGGTCCAGAACGATGGTCTTTCTGAAGGTAAGTCGCAGTTTTATCATTTTTTCGCTTACATCGATCTTCGTTTTTCGCGACGCCGCTCTTTGTTATATTCTCTTCGTGTACATGCATCGAAAAATTTCAAGTTTTCTACAGAAAGATCGATGTTAAAATCCAGAATCAATCCGTATTATAACTACGTTAATGTCACAATGAATTATATTCGTAATTTATTGTCGATTGTAAAAAGAAAAAAATCTCGGACAGAGATGAGCAGAAAAGAAAAGGAGGGAGAAGGGATTGGACAGAAAAAAGACAAGTTGTCCGAAGCAACGGTACATGACTGACCGGCTTATCGGTACGAAAATCGATACAAGGATTCTCGCTTGCGCGAACGGCGAAAGGCGAACGCCAGTCGAATCGTTGTTGAACTCTGTTATGCCAAACTCGCACATGGACACCTCGAGAACAATCGATAAGAAATTAATATCCGGCGTGTCGATTGGCGTGTCGTTAAGCCGGTCGACTCGAGTTGAAATAATAATGGTATCGTGCATCGAAGTAGCGTGTGTGGGTAGGCCACAGTCGAGAAGCTGAAGAGAGAGATAGAGAGAGGAAGGAAGGGAGAGAGAGAGAGAGAGAAAGATGGAGAAATAGGGAGAAAGAGGCTATCGCCACCTTCTTGACAGTGACAAATGGATGGAGATTTCAATCAGTGAATGGAATCACCACTGGCTAACCGCGTCTTTCTCTTACAACGTAGGTCGACCGTAGCTTCTTATGTATGTATGTGCGCGCCCACATGTGTTGGAAATATATATTCGGACACACCTCAACCTGTCGCGTTGGTGACCGAACGAACGAGTTCGGTCCGGTCTCCTGTTTAGGTCTCTTTAAGCTTAAGATGGACACCTCGAAGCTTTCGTAAGAAGTGTTAACGCTGACCACAGTCGCGTTATAAATTTTAAAATTATGTATGTCGCAAATTTCTCTCAATTCGAAGAGAATGTCGAGTAAACGATGAGGTAGGACAGACGCATTTAGTATGAAATTTGTGTGCGAGTTGATAAGTCGATGGAAAAATAAAGAAGCGGTTGTACGCGATAGTCAAGAGACGATCGTTAAAGCATTTCCGGAAAAGCCAGAGTCTTCGTTTTCTCATTCGCGGCCGTGAATAAAGGGAGGGTCGAAACGGCTGTTCGCTCGTTTCCTTACAAACGATTCGCGGGTTTCATCTCCAGGGCTTACCCTCCTCGGTCTCATTCTCCTTCATTCTTCTCGGCGAATTCTCCCGAGGTATCCGTAACGCTTTTCGCGGTGCGAGCGCGAGTCTCTGAAGGTTATCTGATTCGTCGAAATCGTAAAGGAGTCCCGGATCGCTCTTCCTGCGAAAATATATTTCCTGGTTTCAATCCGCATCAATTCGAAGGCACTTCGAGCAAAATGAGATCCTCTCGCCTCTCTCCGCCAACTATAGCCAATGAGGATCCGTTCGACAAGATCATGATTCTTGCATAAAAAATATAAGTCTTTATCCACATTAGAGAGTATAGATAATTTAGAGCCGAAAATAAATATTTTAGATTATTTGATTTTAATATAAATAATGTTAAAAAATAATATTCGCGCGATAAGTTGAAATAAAAACAAAATAAAAAGTTTTTAAAACGCTAACGCGAAACGAAAGTCGCGAAGATGTGAAAAATTATTTGTGAAATATCGCCTGTGCGATACAAGGTGATGGAGATTCGAGAGAATCACGAGCGAAGTCAGGGCGACGCATCGAAGCTGCGAAAAACATCCGTCGTCGTTGTCTTTGTGGGATGCCACGACGTGAACGCGGAGTAGAAAGGCTAGTGAGAAGGAACGGGGGCGGAGGATAAAGGGGTGAGGAGGATCGTCTTTTCGGAGGAAACCGGGTGTTAGCCGGTACTTTCTTATCTCGCGGCGATCTGATCCTAATTTATAGCCGCGTTCCAAATAAACTAGTTTTCGCTGTCGTCACCTCACCTCTCCCCCGCCTCCCCCTTGCTATCTGTGTATATGTATGTGTGTGTGTGTGTGTATAAAACGCGTTGGTTATAATGCTACCTTCTCTCCAACATCCGTTCCATCCGGTGACCATCCTCGATCCTTCTGCCTCTTCTCTCTTCGCTCACACAGGGGGACAGGTATACGAAAGTGTGAGACGCGCGAGACGCAGCGCTTTTTGTATTACCTACCATTAGGGATAGATTTGATTTTCGCTTCTTGTTTCATCCTCTTTTCAATCGCGGGATGCGTAGAAAGAGAAAGAGAGAGAGAGAGAGGCAAAGAACACAAGAAGCTCTCTCCCGTCCGTGCCCTATAATTGCCAATTAGCGCAGGGATGTTTAATCGTTATTAGGATGTGGAGGAACCTGGCCGCAGGCTGGTTCCTTCTAACGATCGTCGCCTTCCAGCTAAACGATATTTACACGATCTCACGGCATCTGCATTAAAATTCGCGACCACCGTGCACATCCGCCACGGAGGCGAGAGAGGATAGGCGATCCTTTTAACGGTTTCGGGATTCCGGACTGCGGCGGGAAGAGATTCGGGTGTCTCCTTAATAAATCCTCGAACACGTCGCCGCGGTTTCCTTTCTCTCCATCCCGTCCCTTCCTCTCTTTTCCCTCTCGAGGGAAGCGTCGCCGGTGACTCTTTGAGAAACGCGCGCGTTTCTGGAATTCCCGGTCTCTATCGCCGGTCGTTTTAGCCAGGTCGACATCGTTTCTTCGTCGTCGCACGGCCACGTCCTTCTTTGTCCTCGACCTCCATTCTCATTTCGAGTGTTTATCGCGCGTACAGTTGTCTTGATGTGCAAAATCTCTCCGGAAAACGGTAGCCCTGGTTTATTTACGTTCCTAGATACGCATCAGGACGGCTGGTTGCTAATCAGATACCACGCATCGCCGCCTTTCCGATCCTGACGAGAGACGAGGTGTCGCTATCATTTACATAATTTTCACGACTTTCGAGTTCAGCCGGACAGATGCAAATGTTATTGATTGGGAATAAAATCGCAACGGCTTGACGGACTCTTCTCTGTCTCTCTCTCTTTTCTTTGAATATAAATTGACGCGTTAATTTTAAGATTGGACAGATATAACGAGAGATACTATCTCGGCTTATTAAAAAAAATGATGCCTTTCAATATGATGATCGCCCTCGTAAAGATCTTGGTCATCCTTACGCCCTTACGCATTACCACGTTAATATCCGTATTACTTGTGTATGCTTAACGGTATTATTAATAAAGTTATAAAATAAACAGACTCTTATCTCTCTCCCTCTCGGACACGTTATAATTAAATCATTATAAAAAACGCGTTGTTATTATAATTTTTCGAGAAAATTATAATTCTCGTCGATATATGTAGCGGAATGTTAACTTCTCCTTTAAAAATGCGTAATTTAAGGTAGGAGAGAGAAAGAGGGGAGGCTATCAGCATGAGTTATTATTAAAATTTTCGCAACCTGGTGCTTTCATTTGAATTAATGATTGTTTGATGTTTATAATTTCATGCCGGTCTGTCTTTTGCATTATTATGCGAGTATTATCCGCGGCCGGCCACACGAAAGCATCGTAATAATTACACGATGACACGTTGCCATTTACGGGAGCATTTCGCTTGTTCCGCACGATATCCGCCGGCGGAGAAAATTCACAGCAATGAAATTCGCGTTATCGCGTTGAATTTCGAAAACCTCGTTTCACCCCGGAATCTGGTTGATGGACGCGAGTTTTTCATTAGCCAATCTTTTCCCCCACGGCGATCATTAAATTACGATATAACATTGAAACGATCCTTTTTCCGAGAATTTCCTTAATCGACACGATCCTTGTCTCTCGCGATTGTAAATAAATCACCACATGCGAATTCGTATACACGAGAGGAATATCAAGCCTGAGATCTTAATCCGTAATCTTTTGAATGCGAATCTGTATATCTAAAGAGAGAGATTATCTAAACACATGCAACTGCAAGTGATTTGCTAGCTTATAAATTAGAGAAATAATTTGTGCATGTATATATGTGAAATATTTTATATATAGGTGTCTGAATATATTTGATTTGATTTTATCATAAAATGTTTCATAACTTTTGGATCATCAGAAATAAATAGGTTTTTATAGAACATTAATCGTCGAAAAATAGTAGGACAGAAGCAGCTTTGCACTTATAATGACATTTTGATTATAATTCATCTCGGGATAAAAACAAATGCGGTTAAATTTTGCTGTTGCTCGAAATTCTTACATGAAAAAAACAATTTAATATCAATTGGCGTTTTTCAACAAGCGACACAGAGGGAGGACACAGTGTAACACACACAGTAAATCATTTCATTCTTGTTTGCATTCGGCAACCATCAAGGATGAAGTGATACACCGTGTCCTCGCTTGTTGAAAAACGCTCAATGTCAATTTGATTGTTCATCGGGATAATTTTCTTGGTAACATTTATTAATCGATTACCAATCATAAGTATTCTCTTCCCTTCCCTATTATCAAATTGGCAAGGTCGTAGTCAACGCGCTGATAATAATTTATCGATAAAAGCGTGCAAAACGTTTTCTTATCATCCAGATAGATCGCTTCGACAATTTCGCAACGACAGAGAGTAGAAACGGGGATGCGGCATATAAATGATAATCGCATCAATGTTTATCGTCGCGGTGGTTGCTGTAACATACGTGCATATAACATCCAGATGTCACTGCAAAACTTTCGAAACGACTTACCGCATAATCGCGCGACATTTGTCATCCGGGCCGACGGCGTCGCGCGGATGTCATTTCGCGGTCCGACGAGCGAACGAGGATCAGGTGGGTAAAAAAGAACGGGGAGAAGGAGAGGAGAATGACACGACAGATAGAATAGATGTCTCGAAGTATAACGTTTTCAAATATATTCGTGACAGCGACCAACAGTTTCGAAACAGATATCGAAATTTAATTCCGTTTAAGGATGTTTTGTATCTATTTTCAAAATATTGAGAATTTAATGAAAATTCTACAGAATGTCCTCACATATGTTTAGAATCTTCAGTACAATTTTTAAATCGATTCACTAAAGCGTTCACAAGTTATAAGGATTTTAATTTGCACCGAATTAACGTGTGTTCTTATGGAAAACGTATAACTACGTCGATTCAAATGAAAAAAATACATGGAAATAATATTCAGAATTTGTTTAAAATTTACAAAAGTTTAGATACAGAGGAAATATTTGGTCAAATAATATTATACAAGTACTAACTGGTTAAAAAGATATTAAATATAATTCAATGAAGTTAGCCATGTATCTATCACGAGGCGAAATTCTTTGCCAATAGTTAATCATTTCGATTAACAAAATTCAGAATATTTCAGTAAAAACGCAATAAATATTAAAAAATATATCTCTGCACTGTAACTAAGATCAAATTGTAATATTCCACACAATTTCTCATATTCAAAATACACTAAAAGTAAATATTCGTCAATATTGATTTTCTACTACTACTTGCTACTTTTTGCTGGGATTGCACATACAAAACATCCTTAATCTCATTCTCATAATTGTTGTATATATTGCCAAAATACGATTATTATTTAAATGTATCACTAATCAACGTTATTCAAAAATTTGCGCAACCTGATATCCTTTCAGAAATGATTCAATTGCAGAAAATCCTGCATTAACTCTACAATTCATGCGTTTAAAATTAAAAGATAATTTCCGTATTTCTGTTTCTATAATAATTTTAATATTCTTATCGTAATTTACATTCATGGGACGTACCATGTAAGAGTGTTGTCTTTCGATTGTGAACGTTCTAAATGCGGGTAAAGTGAAAATGAAATTGTTTTTGGAAGAATTATCAGAGTCACATGTATACACACTTAGAACAATTAGTTTTAATGATTGCGATCAATATGACAAATGTTTATTTCACAAAATACTCATATAATATAATAACTTATGGTAAAAAGACAATATATATCGACCGTATTTGCGTCCATTGGAAAAAATGCAGTAATCAAGCATCGACATAAATATCGATTCATCACTATAGTTATGCGCAGAACCCAGCTAATGATGAATTATCTAGAGAAATTTTGATCGCCAGCTGACCTTATCAATTTGAAAATCGAAAATCATTAATCTGCGCGATCGCGTTGATAAAATTCTCGCGACTTTTACGCTCAGAGATTAAAATATATCTAATATCTAATCGAACGTCGGGATTTGCGAGTATACATATTTGCTATTAAAGTCCTCGTTGTGTAATACGCGTGTCAATCGAAATGCCGTCACGCGGAAATAGTTGACAATTGTCGCGAATAGTTATGGGCGTATAAATGCCCGCGTTACGATATACGTGCGGTAATAGCCGGGTGAGCAGCGTGTTTTGCATAACGATCGCATTTTATCTCGCGGCGTGCACACACGCGCGACATATCATTTATTAACACTGACACAATCGTGTTGTCGCGATACCAATTACCCGGAGTAGCGTAAATAATCGCGCAGTACATAATGAGTAGGTTCTCGATCTGAGTCCAGCCGAATTAATGCTATCAATATAAACAGGATTCTCTCGAATACTCGGATGCCTTCCGTTACCCAAATTCGCGGGTATTAACCGGCTATTCGAAAATGTTATCTTGGATTTACCCAGGTACCCGAGTATTAAAATCGCAGGCAATATACACGGATATCAAAACTTGCGGATAATATACCTGAGTATTCTGATGCGTTTAAAAAATAGCCGATAAATACATATAATAAAAATACATGTATAATAGCCGATAAATACATATAATAAAAATACATGTATAATAGCCGATAAATACATATAAATACATATAATAAATACATAAATATTCCGATGTATAATATATATTTTTCATTAAATATAGCGCTCTGTAATTGGTGAGCGTGAATTAAGAAACACTTTGAAAAGTATTTGGGTATTTAGATATTTGACAGCATTAGATGAAAAGTGTACCGCTTGGACGTGCGCGACGATCCCTTGTGAAGGTACATAAGTGCGTATATAAGTAATAGTTTACGAATAATCGTGGCCATTTAAGCCGATTATCCGTTTTTTAAACGAGCTTATAATTGCGATTGCAGCTTTATCGGTGCAATCGTTATATTCATGCGTCATTCGTACGTCAGCACCTGAGACTTTCCTGATAGTCTTTCCCATCTCTTTTTCCTCCTTTGCTCTATTTTTCTAAATAAAATGCATTTGCGACTCGATAACTCATCGACCTTTGTGACTTGTTAGGCAAATACGTAGCTAAACGACATATATGCTCAATATTGTCAAAGCGTGTAAAACGACTGCTCGGAAAATAATATTTGTTTCAAAACGGTGTAAATATCCTTACTCGATAGCCAAGTGCATCAGATACCAGAGAATTCCTCTTTTCCTATAAACTTTGCGGAAGAGGAGGGAAAGAGCATGCCGGCGCCGATCTCTAAGATCATTTCCATTTCTCTGTTGCAGAATAAAGCGGCGCCGTTGAGGAAGGGTCCTGCGAGGAGGTTCTGCGGCCGGACTGTAAATACGCGTTCCTGAGTGGTCTCGGGATTTATTAGCGTTATCTCGACCTCGCGGAAAGAGCGAGAGAAAGAAGCGCAAAGCGAGTAAAGCCTGACACAGGAAGGAAGGAAGGTGCTCGACTCTTCGAGATACATAAATCTCGTTCCCCGACCTCTGGAACGCGCGACTAGGAAAAGACGTATGAGGAGGGAGAGGGCCGGGAGAAGACCGGGATAGAGGAAGCGGAGGGAGGGAACGGTTGAAGAAGCGCGGGAGTGTGCGAGACGGGAGGAAGCAGCTTAGAGGAGATTTAGGAATTAGGAGAATTACGTCAAAGTGCCTGCTTACGCACGGCTACGTACGGCGAAGCGACACCGCGGCCGGGTAAGAAGAAAGTATAGGGAGACGCCGGATTTACGTCCGACGCGCTCTCTTCCCTCTTCGCTGCTTGCGAGAGCGCCGCCATGCTTTCGATCGGTGCGACCGACCGATCTGGTTGACGACGAGAGGAGCGAGGAATGCGGGAGGAATGTATACTCTCTTAAATGGAATTGGTGTACTATATCACTGATAAGCTGCAAATAGCGAAATTTCACTGAGAAAAATATCAATTAATGGTTGATTTTTCAGTGAAATCTTATTGCCAGTTAATTAGTGAGACAAGTTGGAGGAGCAAAACGTGAGTGTTTTCATTGAAGATCAGTGAGCATTTGAAGTATTATCATTTATATATATCTTTATTAAAATTAATAAATACATTTAATTAATAAATTTTGAAACTAATGTATTTATTAATTCATTTTATTATGAGCAATATATGTTGACAGTTGTTGAAAATTAAAACAGTATATATATATATTTTCTATTCTTGTCACTTGAAATCTTATCATTGTCATCAGTGATATTTTCACTGATCCATTTTAAGAAAGTAACGATGCGCGGACGATTCTTAATTCGCTTGTAGAAGAACGCTTCCATTAAGTCACCCAGATCAGCTGGCCGACGAATGACCTTTTCGCGATCATCCTCGAACATTCATTGGCGCATGTTTTCACATGTATATTCGTGCGCGCGCACACATATGCACGCGTGTCTATTAGACATGCATAATTACGAATTTGTTTTCTTTTTAATCAACGGTTTATTGCCGATGATTTAGCGTCTTCTCACGAAGACAAATTCTGGGAGTATGCGTAGAGTCATCGATTCTGTAAATAAAGGACGCCTGTCACCGAGAATATCGGTGTCACACTAAAGATCGCATGCGTGTACATATATATATTTCTGACGAAAAGGTGGATCGTTTAGGATTCTGCTGCATCTCGGCGGACAAACGATCCGCCTCTTCCGCAATCGCTAATCATACGGGCAACGTGCAAAATAGCACCACTTCTTCGTTACGGAGTATGTAACGGAATCTTTCTTGACGATCGTCGCTCGTAATTCGGCAGAGAGATTTCGACGAGACGGAATCACCAAGTCGCGCGATATCATCGAGAGAGAAAGAGGAACTTTATCTACCTGTTGTAGGCTTAAGGCGAAAAAAGGAGAGACAGATTACATTACAAAGCTACTCTATCGTTAAACTTACCACTAACTCCTTCAATTATCCGAATGAAATATTAACGTATACCCGAATACCCGCATATAGAGATGGCATGATAAATAATACACCTACGCATTACACACACGGTGACACACGCGCAAGTATCTCTAGGCCGTAGATCTTAAGGCTGTACCTACTACATCACGAAATTTTATCGGCGTGATGCGTCTTAAGAATCTTGCAGAGAGAAAGACAGAGAGAGAGAGAGAGAGAGAGAGAAAGAGAGAGAGAGAGGATGCCTCCGCCGTAGAGAGTACATTGCTACATTATAAATATGAATATATGGTGGATCGTACGAATAAAGTCTGTATGACGTGACAAGCTTACGCGTGTAGTAATATTATCAGCGGACAAGACACGCGGTGAGAGAGAGATGGGATAATAATCGTTAAGGATCAAATTCGTCCCTTTTCGCGCGACAGCCGTGCACTCGCGCATCTCAAGAGTCGAAAGAGAGAAAAAGAAAATCGTATATTACTCCTTCCACCTAGATGTTTTACGATTGTTGTTTAATGCTATATTTTATTGTACTCTCTTGCAGTTATTAATTTTTTTTTATTTAGAAACAATTTTAAGTTTTTGTTGCTTAATTAGTCGTGTTAACGTGAAGGTTTTACTTTTAAGAAATAGGGAAGGTTAATAGTTTGGAAAAAGTTGTACAAAATATACACACGAGTCATCGCGAATGCGTAGCGTAGAGGGGAGTCGAAATGCGGCGTGCACGGTGCTCGAAATTGTTGATATTTTTTTATATTATATGTATATTATATCGTGCGTCTTTTCGGAGAATTCGCTAGCGCGAATTACTGTCGCGTTTTGGAGAAAAAAAAGGAGCAAAAAGAAAAAAAAGAAACAAGTTTAACAATTTATTATTTTGTACCTTGGCGTAAATGTGAACGAGAATGAGCGCGCGAGAGTCATGGTCGACGATCGAGGATGTATCGAATGCAACATTGTACATTGTTTTGTAAAGAATACATTTATTTATATCTGTGATAAAACGGGAGAGTTCAATGGAGGGGAAGTAAAAGAAGAAGTAGAAGAGGAAACGATAACACACATACACAAGGCGTTCGCGGTATCGGTATACTTTGACGAGGACGGTCGGTGCTCGTGCATTCGCTGACACACGTATATCATAGTATAATTATATAGATACGATAATGTTTTTTTTTGTAAATATAATCAATAGTATAAAAAGAGAGAGAATGAATGAGTGAGAGAGAGCCGAAGAAAACGAGGGTCGAGTGTACCGTTTTGCGCGAATGATAATTAACGAAGGCGAAGGGTAAATAAAATATAAATATTACATATAAATATAAATATATAAAACGCACGTTTTGTGTACATTGTCGCACCCTCGTGAGAGAATCTATTTGTTGTGAATAGTACAGGTATAATGAGATACAGATATATACTAGAATTCTACCAAGTTTTATTCGCTTGTTCGTACTTCGATTGTAAAGTAATTAAACTGTACATAGTTCTGAATGTGAATATAAACAGAATATATATATATATATATCTATTATTATTATTGCTATTATTATTAAAAAAATATTTCGATATTATTATTGCTATTATCATTATTATTATTTTATTATTAATATTATTGTCTATCGCATTATAAATTCACATATTATATTAAAAGAAAGATTATTACGTTCTACGTGTGCACGCATCATACTTTCCTTCTCCGTCTACCTCAATTATAAAACACGTTAGTCGCAACATTACTTTCCTCCGGTTACTCGCGACGAGAATTTATGAATAAAAAGACCACTTTAACATCATAGCACGTTCATTGTCGTTCAAAGAAACCCGAGTTTCACCATCCTCGCCTAAAAGTCGTCCTCGCTCAACAGAGAGATCGGCAGGTATCACCGTGCCCCTGGTCCGGACGATGCGATATTCGATCGGGCTCGTTCTATCGAAGGTTGCAACAACGCGCACCTGTTTGCGAATCCCTCCCGGCTTTTATTTTCGGCATCGCGCGGATTTTAAAAAAGTCACGGACGAGTTGTAAGTCGCAGCACGCGCGCAAGCCGCAACACAGGAACCACATTGTGCCTATTCTAACGTACCACAATGGACGTCTCCGTTTTGAATATTCGAACAATGGTACTTTTGCGGTGGGTGGAGTTTCAATGAAAATACATGGTTCTCGGCGCGGGGGGAGGAACGGGAGGGACAATGGATCGCGCTCACGCTGCTCTATCCCTCTTCCTCCGGAGAGAGGATAAACTCGGTAGTTTGCAGCCCGTTAAAGTTTTGGGGGATACGGCATACATACGGACGATAAATATTGGAATAAGTTGCGCTATAATAGACATATATATATATATATCCATGTTACTTTAAAATCTGTTTGACAGCTGCCATATATCGCACGTTGCGTTCGTTCATTTCAAAACTAGTGTATGAGAGAGATTATCGATTAACATTAAAGCTTGGGATAAAAAGCGTTTGCTTCTGCTGTATTAATAAAAAATCCCCCGAACCTTAAAACGAGACCACCCAGACCCGGCTCGTCGAGGGAGACGATGCTCTCACCTGACCCGCGTCCTTCCGGTCTGTTGGCAACAAACACGCACTCGCGGCACGCACGGCCATCGAGGATTAAAATTCAAGCAACGAGAGTAAAGTGAAATTCCGAGGTAGCGTGAGGGTCCCTCGCTCCGTTCCCCACTACGGATCTTTATATTCTCACGGATGCAAAAAATATTTGGCGTCTCTATTTTTAAGAGAAAGAAAATACGGGGTATTCTTCGTACATATGCAATTAAAAAAAATTCACTCGTGCAAATGTACAAAGGTATCACGCGGTAAAATTTCTTAATTCCCTCGTATGTGGATAATCACCCAGCGGTCGTCACGTTGCGTGCCGCTTTTCGTGGCCCACGATATTACGATCGCACCTCCGTGCACGGCTATATTGCCGTATGTTAAATCCTAACAACCATAAATTGGGCAACAAAAACTCTCCTCGCGGCGGGCGCGACGGTAAGACAAAGGATTAGGACCTCCAATTTCGTGGCAGGATATAACGCCATAAAGTCATAACGCGTGTCGGTTCTTTTCCTTTTATTTTCGCCCTCGGTCTCACTCTCGGTCTCTCTCTCTCTCTCTCTTTCTCTCTGCATCACTCTTCTTCCTCTTCCTTCCTCCTCCCTTTTGCAAGTGGCATCGGTGTATTCCACTTGAGCCGTATTTACCACGCCGCGCGTCGATGGGGCAGATGCAGCCGAGCCAAGTTTACATGACTCGGTCGTATAACAACGGTGCTATATCATTTGACGAGAAATATGGGACCTCGCGCGCCTGTAACGTACGTAATTCAACGCGGGGGATATACCGCGAGCAAATCTGCCGCGTCACGTCTCCAAATTGTTTCGGTTCGAGAGGCACGCGAATATAAATATCGAGCCGGCGTATTTCAAGGAGAGAGATCTATCATTTAACGACAATTCGCTCTTTCGTGGCAACACGCATGCGCAATCTGTATCGCGACTTGTTTTCGTCATCGCGATACTCGAAGCACCCGAGAGAAACGCCATCCCCGTGTGACCCGAATAATAATTTATATAATTATCCAACGAGAATATCCGATGGATTAATGATCCGTAGCGCTACAAATACTTGCATAAAATTAATATTCATGAAATTCCACGATCGCACGCGCTTCGTGAAATCTCGCTCGATCTCCGCGATCTCTCCCGTGTGTCCAAGCGGGCAATACGAGAATAACAATAACAGGAATGATATTAATAAATAACAGCGGTTAAACCATGAACGAGAGAAAGAAAGAGAGAGAGAGAGAGAGAGAGAGAGAGAGAGAGAGAGAGCCGAGATCGATAACCCTGCGTCCGAGCATTACCATAAATTTAAATGTCCACGCTCTGCCTCCTTCTTCCTCTCGCTTCCTGACCTCTCTTTTCCCGATTTCTCTCCCTCTTTTTATCTCTCTCCCGCGCGCGAGCATTTCCCCATGACTGCCGCCCTTTTTACGGCTTACTTTATGGCAAAGACTCAATTTGGCCGCGGCGGTTGCTGCGCGTTCTCCGGTGACTAATATACCGGGATGCGCCGCGTGGGGTGCAACGCGGTGATGCATCGCCACGTATGCCTTCTTCTCCCTTAGGAGATGGGGCCCCTCTACGGGACACCTTCGTTTCCAACGCGCGGGTACGCGTTTTTACGAATGGCTCCCCTTATTGAGCATAGGCGGCTCTCTCTCCCTCCCTCTTTATCTTTCTCAACGCGCTGCTCCACACAAGAGATCGTTTAATATTCCCGACTCCCTTAACGATCGCGAAACCATACATATGTACGTGTACATGGCAAAATATATTACTATTATTTTCTAATAATAAATCTAGAAAATTGAAAAAATGTAAATGTAAATAAGAGTAATTTTTAGAAGGATCGATTTCAAACGAGAATATAATTTTGGCCTCAAAGGGAATAAATACATTGGAATGAGATATTCTCGCTGCGCGTCAACTACCCGCTTTGTATATTCAATGTTATTTTCGATAATCATATTTCATCACTCTCTCTTTCATTCACTTTTTGTCATGTTGCTCTCATAGTTTGCGAGCGCGCACTTACGAATGGGCCCTTCACGAGTACACGGGTTTGCGGGGGTACCTCACCACGGGCACCACGTTGGGCCCCGTCTTCCTCACCGTGGGGCATCGGAGCCGCGCTAACTTACGCCGGATTACGAATACTATTTCATTGGAACGCGAGGAGATCCCTCGGAGGGACCTCGGTCACAATACGAGGGACCTCTTGTGCGTCGAGCGGATATCGCGTAGTATGCAAAATATCGCGTCGTTTCCTATGATATACAACGATGTGAGGATAGTTGTTTATCGATGTGAAGCCAATTTATTATACGGTAAATCCTCGTTATAAATTATTCCGTAACGAAGATTGTAAAATAACGTTGAAGAGAGACTAAATAATGTAACCGGTAAAATATATATATATATAGTCTCTGAGTTAATAATTTCAACTTATTTTATATTATTAAAGAGAGAGAAAAAGAATACATTAATAATGACGATAGATATATTTATGACCGATACTTGTATCTCCGTTATGATATAATCTTTTAGTTTTAGCACCCGTATGTAGAGCATAAACATAGAGAGATAGTATCAATGAATTAAGCGCACCGCGTCCGTGTAATCCTAACTTGTTGCGGTAGCGTTATTACGATGACTTCCGGCTAACTTACCCACCGCAGACCGCGAAGAAGTCGAGCGCGGAAAGTTAATGACAAACCGCGTATCCTGGAACCGGTTGCCGGCGAACTCTCGATGAAAATTATCCGTCAGGATGAATCGATGGAATCATCATTGACGGTGCCATTTTATTTAGGAGTTTCTCCGCTCCCAAGAAGCGATGAAGCTACCTGCGAATACGCGAGCAAATACGTAAGGACAAACTTCCAGCTGCGCTGGAATGTCGAATTTCCTTTTGGCAGCATCCCTTTGCTCGACACTCCCGTCGAGCTCGACGGGAAGCACATCCGTGTGACTTTTAATGTTGCATCGAAGACGACACAAATGTCCCATCTGTCGACTTAATTATAATACATCGTAATCCTTTTCTTGATTCAACTTGAAAAAGTTTGAAGAGGAGACGACTATTTCTAATTACTTGTGATTTTTTTGATGAAAAACATTATTTAAATTAATCGTTATAATTAGTTGGATATCTTTTTCTTTTTTTTTAACAATAAACAATAATTGTTTAAAAATAGCAAGAATGTAAAAAAAGTTCTTATAGCATTAGAATGCATTATAAAATTAAGAAGAAACAAGGTAAACGATAGGTGATCGGTAAAAAAAAAGAAATATATATATTTATTATTAGTGAATAATCACACATGGATTTCAGGAATCCGGTATTTGACTGGCTCGTGTCGTCTCGATGGCAAAAAGTAATATTCCAATGAGCGAAATAATCTGGAGTACAAAATAGTGGACCGAGATAAGCCGACGAGGAAGAGGCAGACCGCGGATGCGCGCGCGCTCGCACACTTATCTGGCACTAAAGATGTTTACACAGCGCACTCCGCGCCGTCGCTATCACTTCCCTACCCCCCCCCCATCCCCATTCCCGCACCTCCCTCCTCCAAAAGAACGGGGCACTCTAATTGATTTGTGGCTCCGGCGCTATCGGTGCTCGTAACTTAAATTAAATTACAACGAGCAATCGCGTCCGCCGACTCGTCGAAAAGTTATGCCTCGAGACCGCAATGCCACTCTCTCGCCTCATCTCGACTTCGCCTTCAACGACGGAGATTACTTCCTCGCGGGACAATGCTCATCTTGTTACAGAGCACGAATGTATATTCGGATATACATGTATTATTTAGCTACCGCGATGTTGACGACAATATTTTAAATCGGGTTCTCCGACGTCGAGAGCTCCTGGGGGCGGATGGATACATATATCGAAGGCGATAAAAATGATTTGATACCGAGGA